AGGACGATGACCTCACTTTCGAAGCATGGTTTCGAAGCTATGAAGATTTGTTAGAAATTGATGGGCATGAGCTAGGCGATGCAGCTCAGGTACGTCTTCTTTTGAGAAAATTGTGTCCACAAGTGTATGAAAAGTACTCTAATTACATTGTACCCAGGAACTCAAACGATATCTCATTGGACGACACTGAAACACTTGACCAGAATTTATGGCCTTAAAATTTCACTTTTCCACACATCTTTCCGATGATTGCAAGTTGTTAAACAATAGGAGGAGGATTTTGTTACTTATGTAGCTATTGTCAACAGGGTAGGTGAACGTTTTCAGCTTAGCACACTCACAAATGACCAGTTTAAAACGCTCATTTGGGTTTGTGGATTACGTTTTCCAAGCGATACGGAGATTCGAACCCGTTTGTTATCTCGGTTGGAGTCTAATCCAGAAGTCTCACTACAGGAGCTGATGCAGGAATGTAAACGTAGGTTGACACTAAAGCATGACACAAAACTCGTCCAACGGCACAACATGTCTTGTGTGGTGGATGTTCATACTATTCCTACAGGCCTCAGGCCATTGCAAAATTCAGTACGTCTCTCCGACTTCGTACGCCACGGTTGTCCGCCTAGTGCTTGTTGACATTGTGGTCAGTGGCATTTCGCACGATTTTGTGAATTCAGACGATATATTTACAAGCGTTGTGAGAATCTGGGACCTAAGGAAACTAGATGTTTGCAGGAAGCTTCTGGAAGACCGTCACGAACCTACGCCAAAACTCCAAGCTTTCAACGTTGCGTTTCAAATGTGGTGTGTGTAAGCACTATCCCGAACTATCAGTTACTACGGAAGTATTTGATAAACGGTGTTTCTGTCCGGCTTTAACTGGACACGGCTTCCGATATTACAATAGTCTCTGAGTCGACATGGAGCAAGCTCAGTAAACCCACATTTGTTCAAACTTCACACATCGCTCACGACGCGTCCGGCTTTGAATTACCCATTCTTGGACAGTTCAATTGTGAGTTTGCACTTGTTGATTTGCATGCTAATGGTGTTTTTTTACTTTATACGTTATGGACATCTGAACTTGTTAGGCATAGATTGGATACATAAACTTAATTTATGGAGCATACCTTTGAACACTATTTGTGATAACCCAACGATGTTCATTGTTCGGTTGCACCCGTAATGTTTAGAGACAGTGCAGAAGGTTTACCACATTTTGCCTCTAAGTACCCCAATGTTTTTGCAGAGGGTCTTGGAATGTGTTCTAAGACAAAAGCGGAATCGTCTCCGCGTACCGGTGTACGTCTAGTATTTTGTCCCAAAAGTCCAGTACCATACACTGCTGTTGTTGCTGTGGATACCGAAATTAGCCGAATGGAGTCCATGAGCGTCATCAGTACTGTGACCTACTCAGCGTGGGCCGCTCCTATTGTAGTCATCAGAATGGCTAATGACAGTTTGCGTATTTGTGCTGCTTTTTCTACCGCATTAAATAAGGCACTGGGAACGCGTCAATATCCCTTACCTGTTCCCGAGAATTTATTTACAAAGCTTAATAGAGGAAAAACCTTTTCTAAAATTGATCGTTCTGATGCATACGTGCAAGTAGTGGTCGAGGAGCGCTCAAAAGTACTGCCCACAATTAATACTCATCCAGGTTTTATCGTAACATCGGTTACCATTCAGAGTAAAATATGCTCGAGCGATCTTTCAGCACTGGACGCTATACTATCCGGATTGCAGTATGCTATGGCTTACTTGGATGACAGTAATTGTAAGCTCCACCACTGAAGATCATTACACCCACCTGAACGAAGTATTCTTCAGAATCGATTCATATGGATTAATTGTACGTCCAGAAAAATGCGAGTTTATGATATCCAATATCATATACCTTGGCTCGGTTACCGACAATTTAGGTCGTCGGGCAGACCTAAGCAAAATAAAAGCCATCAAGTTAATGCCACACCCTATGAACAAAGCTACTTTGCAGTCTTTCTTGGATCTAGTTAATTATTAGCACAACGATGTCCCTAGGATGCACGAACTCCGGTCCCCACTAAATGTACTTTGGCAAATGAGTCAGTGTGGAATTGGTCCTCGCAGTGTCAGAAAGCTTTTGATGACATTAAGCAAACCTTGTCCTCCGATCTCCTTTTAACTCATTAGGACCCAGGATTATTAATAATTATCGCTGCTGATGCATCGCAAAACGGTAGCGGTGGTGTCTTGTGGCATCAGTCCCCGAATGGACGTCAAAAAGCTGTGATGCATCTTTCTTGCGCGTTGACAGCAGCAAAAATTACAGCCAATTAGAGAAGGAAGAATTAGAGCTCGTTCTTTGCGGTTAAGAAATTGCATAAGATGGTACACGGACGCAAATTTACTTTGTACACAGATCATAAACCTTTGCTATCTATTTTTGACACCAAACGAGGAATCCCCGTTCACACGGAAAACAGATTACAGCGTTGGACAACCACCCTATTAGCATACGATTTCGATTTGCATTTTTATAGTCCCTTTTCGCTTGGTCATGCTGACGCATTATCCAGACTGATTGCCGACTGCACGTCCAAGACACTGGATGAAGACATTGTTGTGTCTAGCATTACCTTAGATCCCGAGATTAAACAAGTATTTCAAACATCTGTATGTCAAGATCCAGTAACAGCAGACACAGTTAGAATAGAAGCAGCAAGAGATTCTCTGTTACAACGTATTATGGGGTACCGTAGTACTGCTTGGCCTGCACGCCCCTTGGACAGCTATGGCGAGCAGTTTCGTAAAAGTAAGTTCGCCTTAATCACCATTGATGGTCGCCTGATGTTATCTGACCGAGTGGTGATTCCTAAGATACTACAAAGTACAGTTCTCAGTCAGTTCCACGATGGTCACCTGGGAATCAGTCGTATGAAATCCATAACTCCTAGTTATGCCTATTGGCCATTGATGGACCAGGATATTGAAAATGTGGTTCGTTCCTGTAACAGCTGCGCTATGACAGCAAACCTACCTGTCAAATGTGAGCTTCATTCTTGGTAAAATCTAAGTGGATCATGGTATCGCATTTATATTGATTTTGCCGGACTCTTGGAGGGTTTCCACTATCTGGTAACTGTCGATGCTTGCCCAAAGTGGACTGAAATTTTTCAAATGAGTTACGCAACCACTTCCGCTGTTTTGTTACACCTACGCCATCTTATCTCAGAATTCGGTGTTCCCGAAACCATTGTTTCGGACAATGGTTTCCAGTTCAGTTCTCAAGACTTTTGAATTTTGCAACTCGCATGGCATCGAACACGTGCGCACTCTAGCCTACCAATCACAGTCAGACGGTCAAGCTGAACATTTTGTCGATACGTTTAAGCGAGCATTAATTAAAATGGAAGAAGAGGGGAATATCCAGGAAATCATCGACAAATTTTTGCAGATTTACGTACAACGCCAGGTCCAGCAGTACCTCAAAACATATCCCCATCCGAAGCTTTTCTCGGTAGGCATGTCAGAACGGTCCTTGATGCTTTGAAGCCATCGCTACACAAGCGAGCGCGCTATGTTAAAATGGAGTTGGCTTTTAATGGCTATCATGGAACACGCCCCCGGCATTTCCTACCTGGTGATAATGTGAACGTAAAGAATTTTCATGACGGAAGATCATCCTGGATTCCTGGCATTGTCGTTGCACGGATTTCTAGTGTTTTGTACAGAATACAAGTGGATTCCATCATATAAACTGGACATGTAAACCATATTAGACCCCGTTTTGAAGTGTAAGGGACGTCCCAAAAACAGGAAGCTTCACTACCGTTGGAGATCTTGCTGGATACGTATCAAATTACCCCGTCTGTAGAGCGTCGTCGAAACAGAAAGCATAACTACAAGTCGAAGATACTGAACGCAAATCACAGCGCCAGTGCAGAGACTCGAAGTGAACCCAAGACGTAAAGCATACCAATCAAACGTAGAGTGCTATTCTGTTCGGTTTAAAGGAGGGAGGTGTTAGACGCACTTACGTTTCACAGTCGCTCACAGCTAGGTACTTTGACATCTGTGACTGTCTAGTCACGTGATTGTGTTTGACACACGCACGACAGTCGTTCAGAACTAGACCGCTCAGCATTCATGAAAATGTCCTCTCTTGGGGTTGGCCAATTGATCTACTGATCTTTTGCATCCCGATTGCTCAGCTTTGTCAGTATTCCAATACAGCTCGTCCCGTACGGTGTTGGTGTTGCTTCCCGTTCGGTGTGTGTTCAGTTACAGGCAGACATTATAATAGGACATTAGGAGAGGAGTAAGAAAACAAGCAAAATATTAATGACTGAAGCGTTGGAAATCGCCAAGTCCACTAACTGTATGAACAGAGAAAACTCGGTGATGTTATCAAACACCTGACGGGCTGTCTACATCCGGCCAGTCTTAACGGCGTAAGCGGACAGACAGGTTGGAACGGAAACCTCGAACTATAATCACTAAAGGCAACAGCAGCAACAGTAGTGCCTTACCTGTGAATGACCAGTTGCACGGGCCAAATGGGAATGTTCCATGATCACCATACCGCCGGTATGATGAGCATGGAACTTGTAAAACTGTAATCACACTTATCCACGGACCCGGTTTACTTCTCGTAACCATCATGCCAATTTACTATAGAAACACATGCCAATTTTGTACTAGTTCACCTGGCCTGAACAAGCTCTTGTGTCAAGGGCAAGACGTAGCTACAATACTAGCGTATACGCAACCCATTTGTATTCTCTATCGAAAATGATGATTCAGTTTGTTAGATCCAACACCTGTACCCATAGGTAGAAAATAATAGAGATCGTCAGATACTTTAAGGTATTTCAACAGAAGGCCAAATGTTTGCCGGTCAGACATGTTTACCTGCGTTTACCAGAAAACGCCGAAAGCGAAAACTTGTTTCGTTGGAAGGGCAATAGTTTGTCTGCCTTTCTTGAGAAGTAACACTGGTATTTCTGATTCCATTGCAGGTTTACACACGGGCCCAGTTGTTGCCGGGGTGGTTGGTGTGAAGATGCCTCGCTACTGTTTGTTTGGAAGCACCGTTACGACCACCGAGCTGATGGAGAGCACCAGTGAGGTTAGTTGAACCGTTATTAATCTTACCGCTCAGTGGCCACTTCTTTCTTAATAAGTAATGTCGGCGGGACATTTCTACTTTCGACCATCCGTATTAACTTTACGGGATAATGAACCTGGATGAGGCGCAATTCTGATAGCACGGGAACATTTTAGGCCTTGAACTTCACAGACGTGGCATGTGGTATCTGGCGTCATGGTTTAGAGCGTGTGAGCCCATCGACGGCTGACGGGATGAGCTGGTAAAGTAACCCAGCGCTGTGATCGAAAACTTCGAGAACGGAGGGGTGTTTCGTACGTACTGCGCGTATACCTGGTTTACACTAACTGGACAAGTGGTCCACACGAAGAGTTGCCACGGTGGATTTTGTAGGATGAAAGCCCCGCCATCCCATTCTGAGATCAAGAAATTCGTTGAAAGTGACACCAAATGCTAGCCATTAGGAAGAATGAGGGTGACCAATGGATTAACCCTTGCATAAAGCGAACTTTGAGTGGGCATATAGTTCTGTTTTTTTCGGAGACAGTTGCAACACTGAGGTGAAAGGTAAGACGAGAAATATACAATAATTTTAGCACAAGCCGAACTAACATAACCACGTGAGCAGTGCACCGATGCCAACGACTGGATTCACCTGTAACGCGAATCGGGTTGCCAACCAATCAGAGGCATCTTAACGATTCGAGTTACTACATTGCGGCACCTGATTCATGGGAAATGAAAACCACTTCGATCATCTGATTCGTTTGCGCACGATTAAGGCAGCTGCAATGTGATAGGGTTTGAGCTGGGGGATGCACTACCGAAGGATAAGAGGGGACCTGATTCTCACTTATCGTATTTTGACGGGTAAGATTGGCCCGGACTTGTCAGGGCTTTTTAGTCCCGCTACGTTACCTAGTCTCCGCGGTCACCCACTGAAACTCCATAAACCACGGTCTGATAGGATTAGGACGGAAACTTGTCTATCGCGCCGAGTTATAGATCGCTGGAATTCGCTTCCAGATCACGTGGTTAGGGAACCTACAGTTAAGGGTTTTGCGCGCCAGCTCGATGCTCTTGGGTGACAACAGCAAACCTTTCCTTTTTCCTAGCTGACTCACCTTCACTTTTCAGTTCTTTTTTATTGACTCAAATATCTTGGTATTCCACTTGCTTAGCTCTTACCACTTTCTCTTTTGCCTTCTGTGTTTACTTTTTTCTCTTACTTCACGTAACCGACCCAGCAGGGACTGCTAGGGCAGGATACGTGGGCATTAATTGGTTGGACAGGGTGTGATGCGGTCTTTGTTTTAGGTCCATCAGTATTTCAAAGTTCGCTAACTCCTGGTTCAACGACTCGCCGAAGAAGGAACACTCACGGGATAATCCTATCGTTCCAGTCCCGCTTGAACTTCATCATCATCATCATCATCATCAACAGCAGTACATCAGCCATTTGAACTGATGCTTCGCTGCCATACAACCATGAGGACCTATGAAATAAAGAATAAGAGGGAGAGAAGGGGGACTTACCTGAGAACCTTAATGCCCTAAGCAAACATTCAGAGTCAAGGCGCCTACACCTTGTGTAGACAACATACCGACACAAACAGCTGGCTATCGTGCAAAGATAAGGCGACATCGGCGAGACAGCTTCCTTGCGGCTTTCACTGCCACGCGTCATAATCAGCCATTACCCCGCAGATAACTCAGCATCAAACACACTTTAAACAGACAATCCGATTAGGAGACGGCAGCAGACGCGCCACTGGTGTCGGTTGCGAGCCATGTCCTGTAAAGTCTCGAGCCAAGCACAAGGTGAGTCACGTGGACTCCAACCCGGAAGGCGAGACGGACCAACGGCACCCAGTTTGGTCGTCAGTGACTTCATTTCCCGCTGCCAAGTCAACTTCTGTCCACCTCGAGCCTTGCGCCATCCGACACCTGGCAGACTAAACAAGGCCCTCCTAGGTAAGCGGTGACCAGGCATGCGTAGTACGTGCCCGAGCCAACGTAACTTATTCAGTGCTATCTGTTGTTCTAGGGAGCTAGCATGATCATCACCCCCTAGTACTCGCCCACGCACATCATCGTTGCGGACACGCTGGTGCCATCCGACACCAGCAATGCTTCGCAAACAACGATGATCAAAGACTTGAAGGCGCCTCAGATCTTCAGACCGAAGGGGCCAAGTTTCACTACCATAGAGCAGAACGGCCCTCACTGTGGCCTTGTATACCCGGCCTTTCAGACGGAGGGAAACTCCCTTCTGTCGCCAAAGATGACGCAGGTTCAAGAAGGCAGCTCTGGCCTTTGCAATGCGTGAGCTCACGTCAGTTTCTGTGTCCATCATTGCTGATGCAGCTGCGAAGATAAGTGAATTGATCAACCACCTCGAGTTCCTCGTTAGCAAGCGTCAAGGGGTCATCGAGTGGCTGGTGGTCCTGCAGCAACACTTTGCACTTTGAAGGTGCGAAGTGCATACCAAATAATGGGACCACTCTGGATAGCCTATTCAGGGTTGATTGTGCCGCTTCAACATTGTCGAAAAGCAAGACGATATCGTCCGCATAATCTAGATCAACTAACCGTTCACCAGGCAGCACTTCAACACCCACGTCGTGAGATTCCGCAAGGGAACACTCCATGATAGAATCCACGACGAAATTGAACAAAAATGGGGAAATCGGGCAACCCTGTCGAACGCCACTTGTAGTCGAAAAGCAATCCGATAGGGCACCATAGACCCTGACGCGGCCTCTAGTGTTCGAGTATAGAGCACGAAGGATGTTCACATATTTCGTGGGAACACCTTTCCGCGCAAGTATTTCGAACAGAACCGACCGAATGGAACGCGCTCTTGAAATCGAGGAACACAGCTATTGTCGGTCTGCGGTATGCGTGGCGCTGCTCTAGCACCTGCCGCAAAGTAAATATATGGTCTATACAGCCACGTCCTGGGCGAAAACCGGCCTGCTCTTCCCTAATCCGAGATTCCCGTTCTGCAGTGAGGCGACGAACGATAATCGAAGCCAGTAATTTTCTCACAACTGGCGTTAGGCTAATACCCCTGTGGTTCGCACAGTCTGTGCGACTGCCCTTCTTGTATATTGCCACTATAATCGATTCGCTCCAATTAGCCGACACACTCTTCGTTCCAGATACGTTCGAATAGGGAGGTCAGTGCTTTGCAGAGGACCTCACCACCATCCTTAAATAGTGCAGGTGGTAGGGAATCCGGGCCAGCGGCACGAAAACGATTAAGGGCTGTGATCGCGTTTCGGACTTCGGCCTCCGACGGAGGCTCTAAACTAACCGTCCATGGCTCGTCCTGCATCACCTGAGTAGGAAGAGGTCCGGGAGCAGGGGGCCAGTTGAACTGATGTTCAAAGTGCTCAGCCCAACGAGCCATACGACGCTGCTTATTGTGTATCAGCGCACCCGCGCTGTCCCTGATTGTTTCACTGACGCCTGGTTTTCTCGGACCAGTGGTGCGTATTAGCTGGAAGAGCTTCCGGTAATTGCCTACTGCTCCTGCCTCCTCCATTTCTTGAGCCCGACTGGTCCACCAGGCTTCCTTGTCAGCACGTAGGCTCTGCTTTAGTTCACGCCTAATAGCCCGTCTGGTCACATTGTGTTCAGAACCAGCCGGGAGGTGTCTTCTAGCTTCCAAAAGGTTCACGGACCTCTCGGATATCCAGTGACTGGTGCGATGACGACTGATAGTGCCACAAGCAGATGCTCCTGCGTCGTGCATAGTGGCCGAGATCCTATTCCACTGAAGTTCAGTATCATTAGGACAAGACAGCGAGAGTTCGCTATGCAGTGCTTCTTGATAGACTTGCCTGACAGAGGGCTGGGACAATTTCTCCGTTGCCAATCGGGGGAGACGCTTTGTGCGCCTTCCAGTAAAGTTCATGGAGAAACGACAGCGCACCAAGGCATGGTCAGAGTCGACACAGGTACTCCAGTACGAGCGGCAATCCAGAATGGAACCGCGCCACCTGTAACTTATGGCTATGTGGTCAATTTGGGTCCATCGCTGGCCAGCTACAGGTGGACGCCAAGTGGCACTTCGGCGCCCACTGTGTCAAAAAGCAGTGCTATTAAGAAACAACTGGTGCTCCGCACACAGTTGCAGCAGACGCTCGCCGTTGTCAGTCCGTTCGGAGTTAAGTCCATACTTACCACCCAGCTGAGCTTCTGAAGAGCTCAGACGCCCTACTTGTGCGTTCATATCCCCTGCAAGTACTATAATATCTGAACTAGTAGCACTGCGTAGCAGCGTGTTCAGTTCGTGATAGAAAGTGTCCTTGACTGCATTAGAACTGCAGTCCGTGGGAGCATAAGCAGAAATCACAAACAAACAGCGTTTTGTTTTACTTCGCGAATTCACCTTAGCTGATGTCGTCAAACGGGCTGCACATGAACGGCTGTTCACCGGAATCCAATCAACCAACGATAACTCAGCCTTGGAGCTGAGAATAATACCTACACCAGCTTGACCCGTGAGTGCCGCATCGGCGTCTCCGGATGCGTGCAACCAATAACGAGAGGATAAGCCGGGTGCAGTCAATTCAATAACCCCGTTAGGGTCATTAATCCTAGTTTCGGACACACAACACACATCAACACCCAGTGTGTCCAAGGTGCGTGCGAGTGCAGCCTGCTGACCTGTTTGTCTTAGAGTGCGGACGTTGAATGTCGCCATGGAAACGGGATAACGTGGCCTTATAAGGAACGTTTGCCGATAGGCGTCCGATAGGTGCTGTGGGATGGTGGCTGCAGATGGTTCTACTCCAGTAGCACTTCGGTTGCTGTCAATTAAGCTGGGAATTATAGAAGGAAGGTTAGTAATGGGGGCCGGGATGGGAGTAAGAGAAAAAGGTGGAAAAGAAAGAAGGGAGGCGCCAGCAGTAGCATGCTTTCGCTTATCCGCCCTGCTGTATGCAGCAGATAAGGCGACCCTTGATAATCTGCGCGACGGCCGATGCAGGATGAAGTTTATGTTTGAAGAA